CTTTAGTCCACAGCTAAACCACTATAAAGGAAGAAACCATCTCCATTCCACACCTAAACCACTATCCAGCAAGAGACCATCTCCACTTCATAGTTAAATCAGTCTCCTCATCAGTACCATCGTTGACCTCTCATTGTTATTCCACAGCTAAATCATTGTCCATGAAGAGATTATCTTCATTTCACAGTTAAACCACTGTCCAAGAGGAGAACCTTGAGAGCAAAGAGACTTTCTTTTATTAAAAAGGGAAACCATCCAAACTCTTCATGGGAACCACTTCTCAACAAGAAATCAGCCTCTCAATCTACAGAAGGCATATCGTAGAGTTTTGCTCTATAGAAAACTCTCTTCTCTCTAAAGGAGAGGCCTTGCTTCTCATGGAGTTTTTCTCTATAGGAAACTCTATTCTCTATAAATGGGAGGTCTTGCCTCTCATACATAAGAGGTCATGCCTCTCTCTCTAGAGGAAGTCACATTTTTCATATGGTGACCCAAATAGGGCACATCAATTCTGTACACTTTTATCTTATATATATAAATTAAGAATCCACATCAAACATGAAACTTCCTATAGATGTTACATATATCTCAAGAACCAAGAAATACATCTCAGAGTCCTAATCTTAGTGGACTTCTATTTTCTTTAAGAAATTTATCAATATCAATCTCAATCCCACATAATATGAAATTTCTCTATGTGGGTGATTTTTAAATATCACCATATCCAACACAAAGATGGCATAGATCAAGGAGATCTATAAACACTTTAAACTTTTTGAAATAGTGTAGATATAGTGTTGCAAGATGCACCATTTTTAAGATTTAAAATCTTATTTTTTCATAGCATGCATCTCGAAAGCAAATTGATCGTTTGGACATTGGAATAGCCTTTTACGTAGGATTTTTGAGGTGTACCTCACTTCTATAATATAAAGTTAATGCCTTCCATAAAGTTATCCTACACGTATATGTATTATCTCTCTCTTTGAGGTGTATCTTATTTGTATAGTATACAGTTAACATCTTATATAAACTTTTTCCAATACTGTCTCTCTAAACTATCAATGTTTAGGAAGAGAACCACTCATAGACCTCTGGGAAGAATCTAATAAATAGATAGTCTTTTGGGTATATGATATGGGGAAAAAGGAAAAGATGTTTATTTTATGTTGCTTCCCGCTAAAATGTTCGCTTAAGGTACTTTTTCTTTTTCTTCTATTATCCCTTCTCTTATTTTGTGTTAAGTTTCTTCTCATCTTAATTGGATGGTAATATTTGAGTTTTGACTCGGTCATTGTCAACTTTTCGTTAAGTAACAAAAACTTTTTTTTTTTTCTTATTTTAGTGTACTGATTGCTTTGAGACATTGAGCTTAATGACCGAGGTGGTTTGACAATTGATGAGTACAAGAAATATCTCCCCACACACATTAAATCTCCAAACTTTGCTCCTTATATAGAACAAAATCATTATAGATTAAGTTTTCAACTCCATGATTTTTAAGCTCGAAATTAGAATTCATCTTGAAATGATTACATTCATTTAGGTTACAATAAGTGGTTTAAACAACGGTTCGATGCTCCTAGATCGAGCATCCCAAAAACCTATTCGGATCGGTAAATCGGCGATCAGGATCAGGAATCGACCGAATCGATATGATTAAACCTTAAAAAAAATCCAAAAAAATTATTAAAATTCATTATAAATATTGTTTTTTAGGAATCCAATAAGAAATAGGGGTACTACATTATTAAATTTTATTTTTTTATCAATACGCGAATATTAAGATGTTCTTTCTCTGTATGAACTTATGTTAACCCTTAAATTTACATCACACAAAAGAAAAATCATAGAATTATCATGAATGAAGTATATAATTATACATGGACAACAATAAATAATGGATTAAATCGATGAAAAAATAGACACCAAAATCTCGAATTGGCGGAAAACCCTAATTTGCTAAAAAAAAACCCAAATTATTACAATGTAACTAATTATAATCCAGAATTATTACAACCTAACTAACTATAATATTATATCCTGAAATTGAAATTGTTAGTTTACATTTTATAGTTATTTTATTATGTAAATAATAACAACTCCAAAATATCTTATAATATCATCTAATTTAAAACGTATTATTGACAACTATAAGAAAAAATAGTACATCACATAATTTATAATGCAAATAAATTAAAATAAACAAAATAAAAGATTTGGTTATCAATATAGAAATAAATTCTAAAGTGGTATGAATTAGTGTTATTTTTCTCTTTTAAAATATCTTCTAAACTAATATTTTTTAATATTCAATAAACTAGAATTAGTATTATTTTTTGTTTTTTAATATCATATAAGCTAGTACTAATTTTTAATCTCAATTAACTACTTAATTAATTATTAATCATATAATGAAATAATTCCGAGCGATAAAAGCCTAATAGTGTTTTTATATTTTATTTGGGTAGATAAATTTAAATTTTTTCGGTGAAAGATAGGGATGGTGAGCATCCAATTATTATTTTTAATAATTTTTTCATTTTCTTATCATATAATTTAATTACTACCATCGAGCGTATATCGTTGAGCGTGCACTGTCGAGCACCTTTAAAGTTTAAACATTATTAAAACCTCACGAGTTACTAGTAAAAAGTAAATGTGTATATATAAGAATTGTCCCACATCGAATAGATGTGGGATGAAGAAGCCCTATAAAACAAGCAACTCAATTGTGCGTGTTAGCAATTTTGTAAAGAAGGTCACGTGTAAGTAGGCTAGTGTATGGGAATTGGAGCGTGTTTACCTATGCAGGTCGGAATCATGTAATTCAAATTTTTAATAGAAAAATTGACAAAATAGAAGAAAAAAAATTATTGCGTCAATCAGGGCCATCACCGCGTAGAGAGTTCTCTGATGTTTTTTGAAAATCGCCGTTTTAGCTCTAGATTCGTCTAATCGATTTTCAGTATTTCATATGAATTGACACGGGGTGGTCGATTTCGGGTCGACTCACCATTTTTTGATTTTCGGTTTTTCATATGAATCGACACAGGGTGGTCGATTCCAGGTCTACTCACCATTTTTTAAACCCCTGGTTACAATAGATCCAACCACAACCTTCATAATTTAGATTTCTTCCCCGCTTTCTAATTATGAGAACAAATTTTCGACTAAATGCAACCTAGAAGCATAAATTTTCCAAACTCATGAAATTCCAAAACCTTGATTGGCATGTTTAGTTCGCATGATTTTCACATGAATATCAAGTGTGGGAATATTTTCATATCAATTGGTCTTAGTGTATCTTTTCACACTAATTGCCAATTACCTAATTGAAAAAGTTTATATAGAGCTGAGGCTCTTAAAAATCAAATTAGAGCTCACCTCAAAAATATCACTAGAAGAAGTTGTTTTGATGCCCAAATATCCTCAAATCGATTATCTCGACATCAAGATACATGGACATGAAAAATAAAATGGATTTTATGTTTTAGAAATACTGTATTTTGTAATGCATCTTTGGACCGTCAATTTTCAAGATTTTCAAGTTTTTCAAGTTTTTTTGGATCTGCTCGATCTACACTATTTTTCAGTATTGCAACCACATTTCTCGACACTATTTGAAGGTGGGCTTTACTTTGATTGTTTAGAGCCTACAAACCCCACCCATAACCTTAATTAATTTGCCGTTCTTTAAGCTTAAAGTGAAAAAAAAGTTGTAATTTGAAAAACATTTTCTTTCGATATTAAGAATCAATATTCAAAATCAATACATCTAAAAGATCATTTCATTTATGTACCAATCCACTATTTTAATATAATATTCGGAGTGTCCCGTATTCTAGATAAAGTGATGGTATTTAAATTTTTTTAAATACGATCTAACCGCTCTCACTGATCCGACATACATAGTTCTCATTGTTATCACCATTGTTATTGTTGTTGTTGGTGATGTCAGTAGGGTTTAAAAAGTTTGGAACTGAAAGAACTAAATCAAAATTACAAAGTTAATTCTTATTTTCCCTCTATTTGTTTCCTTAGGCATTGATAAGAGGCATTAAGACTTTTAGATTTGGTAAGGCTTTCTATTTGCCACTAGTTTTCTACAATTTATGTTAACACCCAAATTGGGGCTTCCCAAATTCTCATAAGGCCGCACCTAGAAAAAGTATTCTTGATAAAATAAAATGACCAAACTACCTCCTAAAAATTTATAGAGGTAGTTTGTCATTTATTTTTTGAAATATTTTTTTGATATTTTTTAGGTTCGCTCCATTGAGATGAAGACACCTACCAAATTTCATGATCTTTTGATTTGCAAAAAAATCAAAAGTAAAATACTCTAAGATGTTGGATCTAGACGGATCCATATTTTGAATTCATATTTGGATCCGGATCCGACTTGTTGGATCCAAATATTGAATTTATACTCGGATTTGGATAGGATTCAAAATTAGGGTATCTAATACAACATGAGTAGATTTCCAACCCCACATGTATTTTGGGGTTCGATTTGTATAGAGTCGAGGCTCTACATAATCAAAGTAAAGCCCACCTTCAAATAGTGTCGAAAAATGAGGTTTCAATATTGGAAATATTTGTGACAGCCTTAAAATATTTTCTCATCTTTAATATAAAATTTAAAGCTTTAAAAATAGTGTAGATGGAGTGGATCTATAAAAATTTGAAAATCGTGAAAATTGAACGTCCAAAAATGCGTTACAAGATGCACTACTTTCAAAACTTGAAATCCATTTTTTTCTCATGTCCATGCATCTTGATGTCAAGATGGTCAATTTGAGGACATTAGAGCATCAAAACAATCTCTTCTGATGATTATTTTTGAGGTGGGCTCTAATTTGATTGTTTAGAGCCTCGTCTATATAAACTTTTCCTTTTAAAGTGAACCCCGAAATTAAAACGTCTTGAAATTTAGGCGGCAAAACAGGCTCATAATACCATTTTCTCCTTTTAAAATCGCGGTGAAGAGAGAGACAGAGAGAGGATGGAGAAGAGAAGAGGGAAGAGTGAGAATGATATGCAGAAGAAGCTGCAATCTATGATCCTGTGCCTCAAGGCTTCCAACCTCCTCCTATCGTTGAGCTCCAAACCCCCTGTAAATCCCCACAACAATGAGGTAATCGCTCGCCAAATCCCCTTTCTTCCATGAATTGTGTCATATGACATCAGTATTTTGTTCCAATTACTCTTTCTCTCTCTAATTTTGATGTGTGATTGCCTTTCTCTATCTCTCTATCTCATATTGCTTGAGGCTGCCTTTCTCTCTGGGATGAGTTTTCCCTCTCCCTTTCTCTCTCTCAGATAATATTACTGTGTTCTGCGTACAGGAAATGGAGGGTATTTTGAAAAGAGTGGATCATCTAGAGAGAGAAGTTGTTAGAGAGCGGTGCATAAACCTGAGTCTTAAGCTTTGCAAGATATGGGAAGTGGTTGTTCTTGCTCTGGGACTGCTAGCTCTGCTCATTTTGGCTTGGATTTTCTCAGTTTGAAGCTTCACTCATGGCTGGATGTATGAGAATTTCCAGGTACGTTTTAGAGAGAGTATTCATTCTTGGGAGGTAATGTGAAAAGAAATTAGGAAAGGGTTTGCAGTGGAAGATACCGTATATCCATTGTGGTAGTATTAATACATCTAGGACTCGCTCTTCAATTTTGATATGCTCTATGCCCCTCTGTAGCAGGGAAGATTTACTTGAAATTAAACTTGCCTTCCTGATTCTGTGAAATTCTCTCTCTCTCTCT